TTTCAACATGAAATTATTTTTTTTTAAAAATTGAATTTTAATTTTTTTTTCTCAGTAATAATGATCATAAATTTAAATAAAATAAAATTATATTAAAAAAAATTGTTTCGTCTTATTTTTGTTGTTGTCACTTCCGATGTAAGTACTTGAAAACAAACAAAAACTACCGAATGAAGTAAAATTGTTCTAATTGCTCTGGCTTAAAAAAAGTTTACATGTATGTATACCTGATTTGTGTGTGTGTGAGAGAGAGAGAGAGAGAGAGAGAGATGTTACATTAAATCCAGTTTATTAATACAATGTGAAATGTGAAACTTTAATGAAAAGGCGAATTTTCAAAAACAGAACAATATCGTATTATGAAAAGAAATCTCTATCTCTTTTTTGTTTCTTTTGCTGTCTATTTATTTTCAGTAACTCGAAAATATAACATTTTGGTAATCGTGTTGTGCATAAAAAAGTTCAAAGGTTTTAGCTTTATCTGTAGTTTTTAGTCACTTAAAAGTCAAATATATGTAATCATTGTCATTCATAGAATCTCAGCATTGTATATCATTACAGTTCTATTATCAATCTAAAACTCGTTTTCTTATTGAAATAATAATCTCAGTTATCGGTTTAGTATGATATTGCTTAACTTGCCGTTGAATTATGTTAACGGGCTGATTTTGTTATTTGGATTTATTGAAATAAATCTTGTTAAGATCAAATTGTATTTAAACATGCATTGTACAAATTAAATTAAATGCTAAAAATATACTGCACAAAAGACTAAGAATATGTTTGCAAGTTTTTATTTTTGTGGCAGTGCAGGAGACCGGGGAAGAGGGCCAGGGTCATTTTATATTACCGGGACCTAACTACTTTACAGTGTATCTGTAAAGCTTTACAAGGATAAGCATATCCAAGTCTCTGGCATGGGGCCAGAATGGAATTTTTATATTGTAAAACTTCATATACAATAACATTTGAAAACAATAACATTAGAATTTCATACGATAAAGAAGCCGCGAGAAATTGGGGGGGGGGGGGGATTCTACACACACCATCACATAACAATATTTACATGTACCTACATGTGTGCCACATTGTAAAAAATTGTCATTTAAAAACTCAGCCAGTCAAGGAATATTATGAACCAGTCGCATTTAACTGACTGGATATATAAAACTTTCAATTAATTTTTACACCCCCCCCCCCCCAGCCGAAAAAAATCTATTAATTAATCTGCATGTCATTGATTCATAACGACAACATATATATAATTATTTATGATTTATTTTTTAGAAAAATCTATTTGATATTAATTTTAAAAAATGACATATTGATTTCATTCAAAGATCGGATAAAATTTGTTGAAATGACAATAAAATATCCGATATCTATTAATACACAGTGTATACATGTTCTTCTAAAACCATTTAATTTTACAAAATCAAACAAAATCGTTATTCTAGGAGGCAATTTTCTCATGATTAACTAGATTTGATAGCAGTTAAGTTTCCAGTTCCAGGTATGTGGAGCTCATGATCGCTGTTTGTTTTGAAAATGACTCTGCTCATATACATGTACGTAAGGAGAGAGTTCAAGGTGCAAAAATAAACTGAGGAATTATTTCAATATTATTTCAAACCTAACCACATGACGTATTTGGAGGTTATGGGGTTGGTGGTGGGAAGGCACCCCCCCCCCCCCCCCGCACACCTAAAATGTAGGAAGATTTAAAAATACGACAACCTTCGTATGCTTTTAAACTCATGTTTACTACAAGTAATGTATGTTTCTGTCATTTAACTTTTAACCCCCCCCCCCCCACACACACACACACACACTACCAACCACTGGTCATCCTGGATCTGTTGTGTTCCTTTCATTTTAAATGCATGTGAATTATAATTCATCCATTTGTTTATAATTTATCAACCTGCTTACTTAAAATTAATTATTCAAAAAATTTCCTTGCTGTGACTGGAAAAATGTGTATCATTTCAATTAAAAAAAAAAGTTTTGTTTCCACATGCGGGCAGAAATCCTTCTGATTTTTTGTTTAAAATTTTTTTATCGAATATTGCTTAACATGCAGTGTATCAACTTAATGTCCTTCAATTGTTGTACAGCGTATACGGTAACTCACTACATTTCACAAATTTTCTGTCTAATTATATTTAGAAAACAAAAAAAAAAAAAAAAAAAAAAAAAAACCAACAAATTTTCACTACCCAGCAGCATCTATTTTATTGTTGTTACCAAGAATTTTTTTGAAATATTTTTTAACTTCACATTTTGAAAGAGATATCGTTTATACTGGATTCAACCCCCCCCCCCCCCCCAAAAAAAAAAGACATCTAGTCCTATCGAGAGCCATGCTTAAAATGAGATGATTTTCGAATGAATTCTACAGGTTTCTCAAACGATTATTACACGAGATAAATACTTTGGTTTTGAGAGAATAAATTGATATTGAACAGAAGCCGCTTGCTTCTCGGGTTTTCCTGACATTCCAACATAGTGAAATGTAAAACAAACAAACGAACAAATACTCATAATTCTATACACCACTGCATGATGGATAATAGTTAATACAACTATTTATTATCATATTATACAATTATTAAAAGAGAAAATGACTCAAAAATGTTTCTGGAAATGCTCAATAACATACATTTATTACCGCAGTAACATTACAATGCAAAGTGAAAGTCAGGTTCACTCTGAAAACTTTTGACGTTGGTGCGAAAGTAACATGACGTCATTGTTTACCTGTTAAAGTATCATTGATATAAATGAAGAAAAAACCTACTTAGAGTTGACGTAGGGCCATAAAAATTCAGATTTGGCAACTTCTAACCTTGCTCTATTAAAATCCATGAAAAACTTAAAATGTGTAAAAATTGCCATAAGGGCCCTTTTCCCATGGGCGCAATCATTTGTGATCGTTGATTCACTAATCATAATGATTACTTTGCAATTAAATAGTTTTTTAAAATTATAATCTACGAAACAACAAAAGGGTAATTACGAAAGCCTATTAGGATCAAACTACGGTAAAAAAAAAATTAAAAGGCCTTATAACGCGAATAAAGGCGTAATAACGCCTTTTGAAAAGGCGTTATAACGCGGAAAAAGGCGTAATAACGCAAATAAAGGCGTAATTACGCCTTTCCAAAAGGCGTTATAACGCGAAAAAAGGCGTTATTACGCCTTTCTAAAAGGCGTTATAAGGCCTTTCTAAAAAGGCGTTATTACGCCTTTCTAAAAGGCGTTATTACGCCTTTCCAAAAGGCGTTATTACGCCTTTTCAAAAGGCGTTATTACACCTTTTAAAAGGCGTTATTACGCCTTTTTAAAAGGCATTAATACGCCTTTCAAAAAAGGCGTTATTATGCCTTTTGAAGGGCCATTATTATGTCTTTGACAGGCCCGTGCTTTTAAAGTGGGGGGGGGGGGGTCCCATAAAATTGACAAGCAAGCAAAAAAACATGAACCCCCCCCCCCCCGAAAAAAAATAAACTGCCTAAACTTGAGGGGAAACTTTTTCTAATATTTCGGTAAAACTTTTTTTAAATTTAATGCAATGACTTGCCCGAGTTTAACTATACTGCGACAAAATGTTAAGGGACCAAGCAATCAATTAATGATTTTTTATATTTAAACTATAGCAAGACTATTCTCCCAAAAAGTGGGGTGGGGACCCCGGGACCCCCCCCCCCCCCACTTACATTCGTACTACCGGCTTGTTTGAAAAGGAGTTGTATCCAAAAATGGAAAGGCGTTTTTTTAAAATAGTAAATATATGAAAGATTGAACCAAAGCCATCTTTATTTATGCAATATTTAGATTATAGTTTTAATATTATAAATTATATTATAAATTATAGCATTTTCTATATTCCTGCACATCTCGCAGACAGTTGTTTGCATTTTGCATGCATATTAAGAGAAGTCAACACTCTACTTTTGAAAATCCAGGATATAGGCAGAACCAGCTTTGGGCTTTGCTAGCCACGTATTAAAAATTCATGTCAAATTTGAAATATTTTTCTCTCCTCTAGGTAAAAAACAGGCAAAGTATTTGCATAGGTATAATGAGCAATTAGCCTTCAACAAAATTTCTGAAATCCATACACCTTGGTAGAAGCGCCTGGCATCAGAGAAGGACTAAGTTGGTTTAGCACTGAAAATATTTTACACATTTAAAAATCTTTTTTCCTAGAAATCTAATTATAATCAGTCCCCAGGGTGGGCTAAGTAAGTCATGTATTGAAAAAAAAGAGGCGTAATAACGCCTTTTTAAAAAGGCGTAATAACGCCATTCTAAAAGGCGTAATAACACCTTTTGGAAAGGCGTAATAACGCCTTTTGGAAAGGCGTAATAACGCCTTTTAGAAAGGCGTAATAACGCCTTTTGGAAAGGCGTAATAACGACTTTTGGAAAGGCGTAAAAACGCCTTTTGGAAAGGCGTTATAACACCTTTTAGAAAGGCGTAATAACGCCTTTTGAAAAGGCGTAATAACGCCTTTTTTCGTGTTATAACGCCTTTTGGAAAGGCGTAATTACGCCTTTATTTGCGTTATTACGCCTTATTCCGCCTTTTTCAAAAGGCGTTATTACGCCTTTTTTTCGCGTTATAACGCTTTTCAAAAAGGCGTTATAACGCCTTTTAAATTTTTTTTACCGTAGTTTGATCCTAATAGGCTTTCGTGGGTAATTAATTATTCTAAGTTATAAAATTTGTTATTGTTTTGCTTTGATTAATTTTCAGAAAAATACAAACCACGTAACACTTCCTTTCCCATATTTAATTACATAATAACAAGCTCACATTTTCGGCATGAACATGAGGTAATGAGACAAAAAAATGTATTGAACCAAATAGGATATTTCGCTCACTTTAACTAAAGTTAAGTTGTCATTATGGCAAACACACTCATTGTGCTGATGACGTAAGCAGAGGAACAGATCCAGAACATTAGAAAATCAATAGCAGACGATACATCATTCTAGGAAATCTTTTGGTCATCGTCCTCTGAACGTTTATAATTCTTTTCATCCACCACATCTTCTGGAACAACAGTTCTTTCCTTAACCATTTGACACTTCCAAAATCTGCAGAGCGAAAATTTCACAAGAATTCTAAGAAATCGATTGACCTTTTGACTTTCGTCTCTATGACGTAAGCGAAGTTGTAGCGAAGAAACAATTAATGAAAATCCTCCGATGATTATCTGAATAAGCAGGTAAGAAGAAAGATATGGAGTACTCTCTGAATTCGCCGGAAGTTCAGAACTAACGATTGTCAGAAAAACCATGAATCCTAGTGCTACAGTTGTGGAGTATGACATTTTCTCTCCAGCGTCAGCAGGAATGACAAATACAAGAATATTCAACGTTCCAAGAAACAAAATTGGTACAATGATATTTCCTACGAAATGTGCAGGCTTTCGTCGCAGCTTTAGGGTGTATGTGATGACACTGTTTGAACCGGAATTATCTACAACCTGGCTTGTAGAAATAATGTCCCAAATACTATTACTCTTGTACTGGTCCATTTCAAAGCTACTCCCAGATGACGTGATTTGTACTTGATGTAAATAATGCGACCATATTGTGAAAACAATATTGCAGGTTTGGGTGTCAAAAGGAAAATATGTAACGTCAATAGAACATTGAGATTCAAAGACCTGGTATGGTTTCCATGTGACAGTCCCATCAAACGTGACCATGACGTAATAAAACGAACCACCGAGTTCCTTAAACGCAGTGAATCCGTTTTTCAAAACAAAATCCGGTTTCCATACAATGTTTTGGGGTAGGGGTAGCCGATAGACAGGGAACATGGCTGCATCCCACGTCAGAAATTCGTCTTTCCACTCCAGGGTCAGATACGCCGTGCTGACGAGTTTTTCATCCAACTCATCGATTTTATTTATACTCATCAAGTGAAAAGCTACATCTAACGCTGTAGGTGAATGTTGATCCACTGCTGGACGAAGAGTTTTGTCGTACGCATTGGTTTTAAACATAAGTTTTGTCAAATTTTTGACCACATCTGCAGTGGTTCCTAACGCTAGAGTCGACAAACTCAGTAAAATAAAAGAATTAAACAGAACACAGCGGGGATGAAGCTGCATGATTTGAATTCGTCACTATGAAAAACTAATTAATGTATAGAAAGAATATATCCCAAGCTTTTTCCTTCCTGACTAACACCGTAAAGCAACCAAGATTTGAAATCTGCTTTATTGCAACACTTGTAGAAAAACAGACCAGTGATTTATTCCACGATAGGGATGACTTTAAATGAATGTTTCCTGTCCGCGTAGAACATTGAGTTTTCATTGACCATTGAAACCTTTTCAACAATAGGACCTTTAACTGTTTAAATGAAAGTGAAGCTGCAAAGTTGGTTATTTTACTATAAATAAACTAAACGTGACATTTGATTTTAAATATGGCACACGTTTTATAACGTACAATAGCTTTTGAAGGCACCACCCTGATAGAAATGACACAAACTGTGATTTTGAAGAAATATCTTTATAGAAAAAATGCCCTTGCGAAGAAGGCAGTTATCAACTAGTGAATGACACTTTATGATTGTACTCAAAATTAAAAGTTTTCAGAACATAAAAAATCTACTTTAATTTTATGGACAAAATTATTATAATTTTTGGTACTGGACAAAATATTGTCCCACTCCCTCCTCCTTATTGTACACATGCACAGAAAACATGAACACGTTACCATGATCTTAAATTCCTCGAATTGGAATGTCGATTTTAAAAGAATCTTCGGATTTTTAATCTTTAGCATACTCCAATTTATTAAAATCACATCACGTTGACAAGCAATAGCACGACAAGGACCGTTCTCTTCCCAACACTCATCTTTGCACTTTGGTTGTTTTACAATGTAGTAGAGTTTGTCACAAGGCTACAGGTGTGAATACTTTGTATATGCAAGCCGCACGACCCAGTCTGACATAAAGCTAGTTTCATGAAAAAGGTGAAGAAACAGTGATATTATCTAAAAAAAAAAAAAATACAAATCTGTAAACAGGGCATAAAACATGGACCCCTTGAAATTCCAGACGTGGGATCTGGTGCCGAAGAGGAGTAAGCATCCCCTGTTAACCGGTCACACCTGCCGTGAGCTGTAAATATATAAAATTTTTAAAATATCAAGAAATTGTAAATTTTCTATAATGCTCAAATTCTACCTTTCTGCAATCATCTTTATAAATCTATTTACCTTTGTATCACTTTATAGGACATTATTGTGAATGAAAAAAAAAAATAAAATCTATGCGGTTAAACTAATTCATTGTAATTATATAAACTTAAGTTAAGACTTAAGTTGATATTTTCATTTTTTAACAGAATGTGTATCATCTGTCCTTAAAGAAATTATTTTATTTAAAGAAAAAACCTGTACTACTAGTGAAGTAATGCCCTGTTCACACGGAGAGTTTAATTCGAATTAAACGTAAGTTACTGCGAATTAAATTTGAACCGCGTTCACACGAAGAATTTAATGCGAATTAGTTTTATTCGAATTAATTTACTGCGCATTAAATTACTTCGCATTAGTTCCGTGTGAACGCTAAGCGAAGCTAATTCGAATTAAATTTTGACGCATGCGTAAGGGCAGCATTAAGTCACAGGCCACATGTCGATGGTCAGATATAGGTACTTGTGCTATTTTTGAGTGGAAAACAAAGGAAAATTATGATAATCACTAAAATGTGTACAGACACTATGACATTATGTCAAATCAGTGGTCAAATGTATCTGCTCGGCACAATGTGACGTGTTCGCAAAATGACGTCATAATAGCCTTACTGAATAGCCTTATTGTAGAAACAAAAATTTAATTCGCATTAGTTTACTTCGAATTAGCTGTCGTGTGAACGCAATTTAATTCGCATTAGTTTAATTCGCATTAGTTTACTTCGCATTAATTTACTGCGAATTAAACTCTCCGTGTGAACAAGGCATAAATGTCATTAAATATGATAATATAAAACTACAAAACACCGCAAGTCCCCTATCAGGCCTATATGTACACAAAGAAAATGTGTTTGTATTGTCCATTATCCTCACTTTAATAAACCGTTATGTACATTTTAATCTTGTCTTCAGGGACTGCCTCTGTTTTGGTATAAATCAATATTAACACAATCGTATGATAAATCTGCATTTCATTAATAAATATTTACAGTGTATTTCTATAGAAGAGAGAAAGATATACTTATATCATTGCATTATTTTATCACAAAGGACCTCCTTTCTTGCAATCACATAAAATAGGGTATAGAATTCAGTCTTTAATTGACTTGTAAATATAGAATTCTGTCTTTAATTGACTCGTAAATGTAGAATTCAGTCTTTAATTGACTTGTAAATGAATCTGTAAAATTAATTAAGTTATTGAAGATCATAAAAAATACAGTGTAACATGACATGTCCCCGTGTTATTTCATATATTACAATAGTTAAAGATCTTAACTATTGAGTATGACAGTGATGGATGCTAAAATCATAAACCTATTTTTTTCTCCTTTTGAAGCTATATATTCCATCACTCCTCACTCCCACACAGTGTTTTTTAGTTTCTCTATGACACTAAAGAAATACTAGCAAAAAACATTCGATTAGTTGTCGCGATCCACACAATACTAATATATATAATGTTGATCCTACGCTGGACGTTTAAATTTACAAATATGATGCAGATTGGACAAATTTTTAAAAAGTTAAAAAAGATTCTCTGTTCCTCTATGTGTGTGTGTGTGTGTTTTAATGTTTCACTCGCTTTGCCGAAAAGTGTTTTACAACGTAAATGACATAAACATGTCTCATTCATATCAGTATGTATTTCTTATGTTTTTGGGCTTGAAAAAAAAAAAAAAACAAATTCAAAGATTCAGGTTTTAATTGTTAGGAAATGGATGGGGGGGGGGGGGCTGAAATGATAGAAAAATACATTATTTAAGAAATAATGTATCATTTTTAAACATCTATCGGGATAAAAATACGGGTTAGTCACGAGATCAAATTCCATAAAGCTCGAAGGGCTTTATGGTAAATTTGATCTCGTACTAGCCTGGTTCCCTGTCCCTTGCTTTTACTACGCGCATCCAGATAGATGTTTAAAAATGATACATTATTACTTATATTTACATTTATGACTTATTCATATTTTATGTTTTCCTGATTTTAATCTTTAACGCGTGAAATGTTTTATTTTTCAAACTCAACGGCACGTATTTGATCCATTGATTGCGCGTCGACCCTTTATGACGTCACTGAGAAATTACGTCGAACGTTTATGACGCGAGGAACCCGTGTTTATACGGATATAGATACGCGTTGCTTTTAATAGTGTTGTATAAAAGAAAACATTTGCAAATGTAAATATAAACACGTAACGTTACAAACTTGATATAAAATATCTTAAACTGATGTAAACGAGACAATATAATTAAGTATTAAAGGCGAAAATAACGAATAGTGATCAATCTCATAAATCCAGTAAACAAAACAAATTGAAAACAGGGCAAAAACACGGACGGCCCTTGGAAACACTAGAGGTGGGATCAGTAGCCTAGGAGGAGTAAGCATCCCCTGCCGACCGGTCACACCCGCCATGAGTGTATTGATCAGGTAGATCGTGGTCATACTTAGTATAAAAAGAATGACCAAACAATTGCTATAAAACATATCAGTCAAAATACTACTCAATGATAGCTGTATTTACAAACAAGGTTATTACATGTATATCGAGAATTTTAGAAATGCTAAATTTAAACGAGGTTGCTGAATCCCTTGTAACATCAATCAGTAGCTTGTCTCGGTTTAAAAGTTGATCATACTCAGAGCATGTTGGGAGACAAACACAATATGAAGGCGTTGTTAGAAGATCACTATATAAATAAGGCAATTGACCATGGAAAAGCTGAAGTAATCTCGTTTGTCATACAGTTTAGTACATGTAGTTAGTTGGTCATTATCGTCTATGTATGTATTCAACAAAATAATTATGTAGATGACAGATCACAACAAATGAAAATTTACCAGTTCCGTTTTACTACGACTGCAGTCGGATATGAAGTAAAAAAAAGACAGCTCTTTAATTATATTGAGGAATTTTTGTATAAATAGTAGAGAAGTCATATGTTTTGATTTATTTAGTTTTGAGATTTCAAGTTTTTCAACATGTCTTTGGAATTCTTTATAATCCACTTCTTGAATTCGTTGTAGCAAAATACGTCTGAAGTTTCTCCTTCACAGCAGTTATTGTGGTGAGAAGTAAGGATAGAGACTTGGTCGAACATTTACTGCAATATATTTTGTTTGATTTTATAGGATTTTAAAAGATTTTTTGAAGTTTTGGAATTCAGTTAGATGATTATCGACATCGCCATCAGTTTCATTCAAAATCGAATATGCAAAATAATGGAAACCAGACACGCTTGGGCGAGACCCTGACTAATTGATACCTTTGACACTGTAAATTTTTTTTAAAAATTTTTTAATATCTAGCTATTGATGGAATAAATTCCAAACGAAAATATCTTTCAGTCATTTACATTAGAAATAGCTATTCATAATTTTTTCTAAAACACTCGAGGAGAAGGTATCTTTTGTTCATAATCCCTTTGAGTCGAAATAAAAATGGAGCTCGTAAATTTACTTACCTTGTCATTGGTCATTTGCAAAATTATTTTGTTAAAAAACATTCCAATTGTATTCCGTACAAGTACTCTGAAGTTGATATTAAAAAGATGCTTGAGTTTCTGATTGACAATATCAATATGGTTTTTGGAAACCAGGTCTTCAAACAATCTGTTGGAATTCCCATGGGTACCATTTGCACCCCGTTATTAGCAGACCTATTTTTGTATTTATATGAAGCAGAATTTATTCAAACTCTTATGCCTGAGAAAAAGTAAACTCTTGCTGTGGCCTTCATCTCGACATTTAGATATATCGACAACGTATTATCCATTAACAATAATTAT